CATTCCAGACCAGTTCCCACAGGTCTTTTCCCATCTTAGACCAGTTCCAATGGGTCTTTTCCCATTCCAGACCAGTTCCCATTAGTCTCTTCCCATTCCAGACCACTTCCCATGGGTCTCTTCCCATTCCAGACCACTTCCCACAGGTCTTTCCCATCCTAGACCAGTTCCAACCGGTCTTTCCCCATTCCAGACCAATTCCTATTGGTCTTTTCCAATTCAGACCAGTTCCCATTAGTATCTTCTTATCTCAGACCAGTTCCAATCACTCTTTCCCCATTCCAGACCAGTTTCCATTGGTCTTTTCCAATCCCAGGCCAGTCCTGACCCATATTTTCCCACTTCAGACCAGCCCTGATCAGTATTTTCTGATCCCAGATCAGTTCCCGGTGGTATTTTCCAATTCCAGACAACTCCTGAGTCCACTTGTCTGTGCCCCCATTCCCCCCCCTCTGTGCCCCCATTCCCCTCTATCTGTGCCCCCATTCCCATCTATCTGTGCCCCCATTCCCCTCTATCTGTGCCCCCATTCCCCTCTATCTGTCCCCTCATTCCCCTCTATCTGTGCCCCCATTCCCACCTATCTGTGCCCCCATTCCCACCCATCCATGCCCCCATTCCCACCCGTTCTGTGCCCCGATCCCAACCCATCTGTGCCCCCATTCCCACCTGTCTGTGCCCCCATTCCCACCCCTCCGTGCCCCCATTCCCACCCCTCTGTACCTACCTCTGGTTAACTCAATACCTTTTTTCTGAATCTTCTTCTTCTTCTTGCTGGGGGATTTCTCCTCCCCGTCCTCCTCCATCGGCCTCTTCATGGGGGTCACGGCGTAGGTGGTGCTGGGCGGGATCTGGACTGTGGGGGGACCAGCACAAGCAGCCCCTCAAACTCTCTGCTCTCCCACCCCAGAGCCGGGGAGGGAGGGAGGTCGGGGGCTGTTCCTTCCCCGCCCAGTACGTACCAGTATAATCGACTGGGTTCTCGTTCTTTGGTTTCTTGGGCATTTTGGAGGGCAGGGGGTCCATGCCCAGGACCTTGTGGAGCTGGCCGAAGGCGGCGAGCCGCAGGGCGTGCTGGGGAGAGGAGGGGGTGTCAGCCAGGGGGGGGTCACTGGGGACCCGCTGCCCTCAACCCCCAACCCCCCCCTGCACACCAAACCCTCAGCCCTTGGCGGGACTCTCTGGATTGACCGTTTTCCGGGGGTTTAACCCAAAAATGGGGGCGGGAACAAGTCACTCCTCAACACCTGATTCTTTGCTCTGGTTGGGCCAAGCCCCGTGGGGCCCGTGCGGGCGGCCCGGGCTCGGCCACCAGTGGCCACGGGGCACTAAGTCTACGTTGGCCAACGGGGCCGGGAGCGGCGGGCGAGCCGGGGGATTCCGCAGGGTCTGGAGGTCACACTATACCTGAGCACTCTGTGTGATATCTTCCCTTTGTTGTCTGTCTAGATGCCCAATAGCATCAGTGGCTTCTTTTTCACAAGGGTCATAAATACCAGAACCATCTGAAGGCAGGAAACAAGGAAGATATGCAGAGAATTATCCCGGGGCTCTCTAAAGAGACTAAACTAAAGTTCCCTGGGGGCGGCACCAACGCTCCAAGAGCGCGGGGACACGGCCACGATCCGGCCACGATCCAGGAGCTCTGGGACTCCCCGGGCTCGTTTTCCACGGACACTCTGTGGGAAAATCTGCTCCCGACCTCTCCGGGAGCCGAGCGGTCCCTCCCTCTCTCTACGGGGGGCTGAGGTGGCTCTGAGCCGGGGACGGTTCCCGGTATAATTCCCGGAGCCGGACGCGCGCGCGGAACACGACGAGGGACCCCCCGCGCTCCTCCCGGCGCCGCTTCCCGGCGGGAATGGGCGGCTCACCTGGCATGACGATGCCCGAGGCCAGGCACTCCAGCACCCGGCGCAGCGCCTCGCCCGCGCCCATGGGCCGGTTGGCCGTGCCGATGGATTTCTCACACAGCAGCTCCAGAGGCTGCAAGGAAAGGAGGGATGTGAGGGGCGGGCGGGGGGAGCCCCCGGGGAGGGAACCCCCGGGAGAGGGACCCCTGAAAGGAATTCTGGGAGAGGGACTCCAGAAAGGAATCCTGGGAGAGGGACTCTGGGGGAGGGACCCCGGGAGAGGGACCCCTGAAAGGAATTCTGGGAGAGGGACCCCTGGAGAGGGACCCCTGGAGAGGGACCCCAGAAAGGAGTCCTGGGAGGGACTCTGGGAGAGGGACTTGGAGAAGGATCCTGGGAGAGGGATCCCAGAGAGGGACTCCGGGAGAGAGATCCCGGAGAGGGATCCTGGAAGAGGGATCCCAGAGAAGGATCCTGGGAGAGGGACCTCAGGAGAGGGATCCTGGAGAGGGATCCTGGGAAAGGGACCTCAGAGAGGTATCCTGGGAGAGGGACCTTGGAGAGGGACTCCAGGGGAGGGACCCCGGGAGAGGGACCTGGAGAGGGATCCTGGGAGAGGGATCCGGGAGAGGGACCCTGGAGAGGGACCCCGGAGAAGGATCCTGGGAGAGGGACCTCAGAGAGGGACTCCGGGAGAGGGATCCCAGAGAGGGATCCTGGGAGAGGGACCCCAGAGAGGGACCCCGGAGAAGGATCCTGGGAGAGGCACCCTGGAGAGGGACTCCAGGGGACAGATCCCAGAGAGGGATCCTGGGAGAGGGACCCCAGAGAGGGATCCTGAGTGAGGAATCCTGGGAGAGGGACTTCAGGGGAAGGATCCCAGAGAGGGATCCTGGGTGAGGAATCTCAGGAGAGGGACCCCGGAGAAGAATCCTGGGAGAGAGACCTCAGAGAGGGGTCCTGGATGAGGAATCCCAGGAGAGGGACCCTGGACAGGGATCCTGGGTGAGGAATCCCGAGAGAGGGACCTCAGAGAGGGATCCTGGGAGAGGAAACCTGGGAGAGGAACCCCAGAGAGGGATCCTGGGAGAGGAATCCCAGGAAAGGGACCATGGGAAAAGGACCCCAGGAAAGGAACTCCAGGAAAGGGACCCAGCATGGAGCAGCTTCCAGTTCCCAGAGGAGGAGTCGGGCTGTGGAAATCGTGAATTGGTAAAAAGTTTGATAACAACGTGATGAGATAATTAATATAACGAGCTGATGGAACCAGGCTGTTTGATAACTGATAAAACAAGGGGTTAATGTGATCTGATAATTGATAGAACAAATTGCTCATGTGATCTGAGAATGGCCTGGTTTGATAACTGATAAAATTATTTGATAATTAATAAAACTATCTGATAGCTGACTTAAGATAGAAATATTTGATAATAATGTGATTAAAATAATTGATACTTATTAATAAAACTATTTGATGATGTAACTTGAAAACTTATGGAAATTATTTTACAATAATGTGATTTGATAATTGATATTTGATGACAACATGACTCGATAACTGATAAAGCCATTTGCCAACGATAATGGTCTGGTTTGATAACTGATAAACCAATATGTTACTAACAAGATTTTATAACTCATAAAACCACCACCAACGTGATTTGATAACTGATAAAATGGTAATAAAATGATAATAACGTGGTTTAGCAAATGATAAAACAACTCAATAATAATGTGGGTTGATAACTGATAAAGCAACTTGATAATAACGGGAGTGGATAATTGATGAAGCAATTGGATAACGATGTGAGTGGGTAATTAATAAAGCAATTTGATACCAACCTGAGGGAATAACTGATAAAGCAATTAATGGGAGTGATCATTGATAAGGCAATTAAAAATGTGGTGGGTCATTGATAAGGCAATTAACAGTCTGATAGGTCATTGATAAGAAAATTAAAAATGTGGTGGGACATTGATAAGGGAATTAAAAATGTGGTGGGTCATTGATAAGGCAATTAAAAATATGAAGGGTAATTGATAAGGCCAATAACAATGTGGTGGGTCATTGATACGATAATTAAAAATGCAATGGGCCATTGATAAGGCCAGTAACAATGTGGTGGGTCATTGATAAGGCAATTAAAAATGTGATG